CTCACCTCTCCCTGCGGGGCCAGGCCAGACAGCAGCAAGCCCACCTCCTGGGCCAGCACGGCTTCCTTCCCCACTGCCAGCTGGGTCACGATCTGCCAAGAGACAGCCCGAGTCAGTGGGTCTGCCCAGACCCCATTAGCTACCCACTGCAGAGTGCAGCTTTCAGGAGAGCAGGGTGGTGGCACTGAGGCCCCTTTGCTGGTGAGGATGCACTCCATGAGAGCTGTGCCACTGCAAGCACAGCTGGGCGAGACCACCACTTGCACTTATGGCTAATAACTGCTCTGAAGCTGCAGCCCTGCCAGTTGCATTACGGACCTGTTCCAGTTTCTGGAAGGAGCTGGAGTTGCTGGTTGCCTCCATCTGGAAAGCCAGGACACAGCGGAGCAGAGGCCTTGCCTCTGCCTCACCCAGCGCCTGCAGACCCTCGCTCAGTGCCCGTGACTGCAGCAGAGCCTCCTCCAGGTGCTTGTCTCGGCATCTCTTGGCAGTACTCCTGAAACAGGATGAGGATGGGGTGAGGATACCTTGGGCTCAGTGGGGATTAGGGTGGTCATGCCCCATCTTAATGTGGATTGGGACAGGGGTGCCCCAGCTCAATGTGGATTGAGGTGGAGGTGCCATGGCCCGGTGGAGATGGGGGGGGGGGGAAGGAGGTGCCCCAGCATGATTTGGAGTAGGGGTGCCGCACCTTGACAGGGATTAGGGCTGGGGTGCCCCTGCTTGCAATGATCCTCTCTGCCAGTTGCACTCAGCATTGCATTGGGTCCGTTCTGGCGAATACAAGCCCGCGGTGGGGCGGTGGGGCGGGGGGTGTGGGATGGCAGAAAGACACAAAAAATCCTACGAACGGCTGCTCCGCTGCTGCAGAGCAGGCTGGGAAGGAACGGTGGCTCTGGCCGGGAACGGAGCCGAGCTTCCCTCCCTCCGTCCCAACCCGTGCCCAGGGGGATGCTCGGGGTACCCATGCCCGGGACATGCCGGTATTCGCGCCAGGGGGGGATGCTCGGGGTACCCGCGCTGGGGGATGCCGATACGCGTGCCCGGGGGGATGCTCGGGGGCTCCACGCCGCGGGACTCCCGATGGACCCGCACCCCTGGAGGGGATACCGGGGGTTCCTCGCCCGAGGTCCGTCCTCTTACCCGGCGAACTGCCGCAGGCATTGCAGGCAGGAGAGCACCGGCTGGGCGATAGCCAGCGCCCCGTAGAATTCAGCGCAGGCCTGCGCCTCCCGCTCGGCTCCCATGGCCGGGGACGGCACCATAGAGCTCGGCCGCGCTCCTGCCTGCTCAGCGGCCCCCCCTACCGCTGTCCCCCGGGCACGCGGGCGGGCTCCGGGGCTGCGGGAAGCTCCGGGCACCGCTGGGTGTCCTGGATGAAGGCAGAGGATGCAGGCGAGCCTCCCCGCCCGGCGGTTGCCTTCGTCAGGATGCTGGATCCACACTAAGAGCCAGTGAAGGGCCTCCTTCCTGCGGGATGGAATGGCCTTTGATTCACTAGAATGATCATCAAATCCAAATGGTTTTATTTGGGTTCTTTTTGCCAGTTGGCACAGGGTTGAGCTATTTTAACAGGCGCGATTTTGAGGTCCCCAAACTGTTCCATGATTCTGTAATTTCTGTGTCTTTCTTAAACCCCTGACTAATGCATCCCACTAAGCATCACCCAGCAGCTGCCACAAAAGTGCTTCTTGCTGGTTTTACCCTTGACAGATGTTTTTTCTCCTCTATTATTTCTTACAGTGGCACTGGGCAAGTGATGGTCATGGGCAGTTTGCATGAGGTGGCATCACAGGACAGCAAAGCTGGCACAAACCAGCATTTGAACTGTGTGACCAAGAGGACACTGAGATGTGGCTCCGTTGGGCAAGCGCTACGCATGGGCACAGAGAGGCCCCTGCCTGTATTTTTTGGCATCATTTACCAGCAGCATCCATCCCTGCTCTGCTTTAGAAATCAGCCTGGAAGCCCAAATCCAGCCAGGGGTCCAGATTTATCCTGATTGCTGCCAAAATCACCAGGGAAGCAGCACAGGGTTTACCCCAGGTAAGGCAGAGCAACACAGGATGATGGTCACGTCCCTCAGACCTGCTCCTCCATTCCCTGAGCACCACGGCCAACCCACATGGGGGATAAGGGATTGGGGAGAAGGGCTGCCAAACCAGAGCCCCCATGGGTGCCAGCAGCCAGGCAGGGGCAAGGCAGGGGAGGGTTCTCCTGTGTTTTAGGGTCTCCAAAGCTCCTGTTCCCATCCCATTGTGCTGCCTGCAGAAAGGGGGGCCGAGGGTGGGAGAAGGGGATTTTTTCTGGTTTCACCATAGGAAGGATTTTCAAACCCTATAAAATTCCCTTTTGACAAGTGAACGGCGAAAGCAGATTAACCTTTTTGCTAATCCTCTATAATGGCTTTAGAATCTCCTTAACCAATAAGAAAATGATAAGAGCCTGTTTCTTTTCTTTTTATCTATATCTATATTGTCCTCCCTTGTCTGCACGTTTTTTCTTTCTTGTTTTATTTTCCTTTCCTTTTCTAATATGAAATAGCCCAGCGATCCTATCTCCTGGAGGCTCAGTAAACAGACCATCAGAAATCCCTTTCCTTTATTCGTCTCTGGTAACAGGGTGCAGAGAAGTGGCAGCCGATTGGGATTTGATTACCAGCAGCTATCAAAAGTCTCTTTGTAAGATCTGGGTCCTAAATCCCATAATTCTTTGATAAAAGAAGTATTACCAGTCCATTTTCTGAAGTGAAAGGTACGGGAGGAATGAAAGAAAGCAATCAGCAGAGATCCTAATAGGCTAAGTGTGTGTGTGGTGGGAAGCAGGGATGGGCAGAGGAGGCCAGGTGAAAGTGTCCTTTGTTAAGGATGGGGAAGGAAAATTAATCTGCTTTGGGTGTATGATTATTACAGCCAAGAGCAGAAAGGGTCTGATCCTGCATCGGGTCACGATATGTCCCAGCTCACCTGCCTACAGTCCCTCTGGAGCAGCACAGTGTGGGGAGCAGAACCTGGCCCCACATCCATTCCCATGTCAGTGCTTGGGTACGTGCTTAAAAGCTGGGAGCAAATTGCAATGATCCCTGGCATTAGTGGATCCCCAATACCTCTCTGGAGCACTGACACCTTGGCAGGGCAGCAGTGAACATGTCCAGACCTGATGGCTACAAAGGTATTCTCCTGTCAAACCTGTAGAAAACATGTGAAGGTTCACAGAGCATGGTTATAACTTCTGTTATGCCACTGGAAGAGCTGAAAAAGAGAGGCAGATAAAGGGACTGAAGAAACAATAGTGGTTTGGTTTTAAGTGAGATTTAACAGAGATTTGAGCGTCACAGGTAGGGTGGCTATGGGACATCCCTTCCCAGCACTGGGAGACCAGCAGGCAGAGGAAGGGCAGGCAGAAAGCAGAGCCCAGGAGCAAAGAATGGGGACTGAGAGGGGGCTCTCCTGGAGACTGGCTCTCGTTTTTGAGCAGTGCTGGAGCAGTTGCTGGGCTATTCAGTGTGAAGTCACGAGGTGCCACGAGGACCTTTGATGTGCAGTGGTTTCACAGCACTCACTTGTGTGTCTCCCTGCTGTACTGGGAGTGGGACTGGTATCTTCTTTCCCCTGCAAAGAAACACCACAAGGGAAAGCGTTCCTGAAGCCTTGCTTAAACCACACTGAAGGCAAGAGAAGTTGGGTTTAAATTTCCCAAGCAACCCGAGCTTGACCACATCTTCTCTCTTTTAACTGGGGCTGCTCATTTCAGTTACAAACCCAAGATGGAAGGTGTCCTCTGTCCTCCTGTGGATCGCATCTGCCTGGCCTTGCTGTTTGCCCTCAGGCTGGTTGGTGCCAGGTGTCCCTTCCTGTCCCAAGCCACCTCTCTCGGCCATGGTCTCACCCCAGTTTCTCTTGCTGGGCAGAAGAAGCTGGGAATTGAACTGATGAAGCTTTGGGGAAGCCTGGCTGCTCCAGGCAGCATGTCCAGGCTGCTCTGGGCTCGCTGAAGCATCCATCAGCTGTGGCACCCTGCCTGGGCTGCTGTGGGACCTCCCTGCCTGCCTGCACATGAAGGCAGTGGGCAGCAATCATTCTCCAGCATTCCAAATGCCAAGCAGGGCTGAAGCTCAGCTGTACAGAGGTGGCTCCATGCCACTAAGCTGTGCCACAGAGCTGCCGCAAGCTGTCAGTAATCTAATTTATTAAGGGCTTTGAATCCTTACAAAGATTATGCTGGATACATGCAAAGCATCTGCATTATCACTGTGATTAGGGCAGCAGAGGTGGAGGAAAGGGGAAGGAGGGAAAATACAATTTCTCCAGTTTCAGCAGAAAATAAATCAACTTTTGCAGAGAGTTCTGGCACAGCCAAAGGCTGTGCTGTCATTAAAAATGATTTTTTATTAAGCTGAACTCTCTCCTCTCTCATATTGTGTGATATGACAGCTCTCTTTTGATGGGAAAGCTTTCATTTGCCCAGAGAAAGGGATAATTTGCTTCTTTTAAGGAGTTAATCCTCTGGTCCATTTCTGAGCTGGGAACAGCTATCCTCCCCCTTCCTTGGATCGGAGGCTGCAGCACAATGGAGATCATAACCACCTCAAATCTACACCCGAGATGGAGAAATCAGATTTCCTTTTCCAGTCATTTTTGTGGGATTAGCTAAATCTTAGATCCACACTAACCCTTCACAAAGCTGCCAAGATTAGTTAGAATTTATTTTATTCACAGGGGGGTTTATGGTTTTCTTTCCAAAGGGATTATATCTCTCTCTATATATATAAATTTAGGGTGGCTTCAGTCATAAAGCAGCTGGGATAGAAGGAGAAAAAGTGTGTGTCTGTATAAAATAAAATCTCAGCTGTGAGAGTGACAGACACTTGAAATGCCAAGACAAAGCAGCGATTCCGGATGTCTTTGCCACTCCATTTCAAAAGCTATGTAAGCTGTGTTTTGGCTTGTGAGACCCCACTGTGGAGTCAGAACACAGAGGGCAAATCCCTTCAACCTGAGCTCTCCATTCCTGTGGCCACTGCTGCTGGCAGAAGATGTCTTCAGAGCCAGGGTCAGATGCCAGCACCGACAAGAGAGGCATAAAGAAGCCGTGTTCATTCAGCATCGAGGACATCCTCTCCAGCCCAGCAGAGAAGAGGCCCCAGGTCCTGGTCCCGCTGTGCCTCCGGAGCATCTTGGACTGCACACCCAGGGGTCTGTGTGAGCTGGAGACCATCCCGGCCAGCTCCCTGCAGGAGGAGGAGGAGGAAGAAGAAGAGGAAGAGCTGGAAGGAGCAGGCTGCAGCTGCTGCTGCTGTTCTCACACGAGCACCCGTTCCCTGCAGGACTCCCCAAGCTGGCTGGGTGAGTGTTTGGGTTCTATTCACGGCATTGGGCTTGTGGAGGGACTGGTGCCAGAACCATGTGCAGGGGAAAACCTGGGCATTGAGTCACAATACAGCATTTGACCTGCCACCACAGTGGTCTCAGATCCCAGTTCCAGGAGCTGAGCTCCAAAGAGCAGGCACTTTTACCTGCAATGCTACCAAGGCTTGAAAGGCAGCAGGTTCTATTACTTGATATTACTGGTTTAGTGTAAAACATTTGAGACATGATGCTTCTAGGGGTGGAAGTTCTCTGTGAAGTGCGGGGCTCCATGGTTGTGCTGCCTAAAAGTGATGCCCTAAGCCCTTCTCTCGCTTGCATGGTGATCACACAGCTTGTCACCCATGCTGGCTGCCTCCTTCCAAACAAGATGTGTGGATGAACTGCCTGAACTGCCTTGAGGAAGATGTGTTTCAGCCCCCCACACCTAACGGTGCTGCGGTACATCTCCCCTTGCAGACACCCGGTTCCCCTGGCCCATGCAGCTCTTCCACTCAGCAGCCAGGGTCTGTAAGAGTCCCCAGGGGAACCCAGCCGAGCTGCAGAGTTGCCACCAGATCCAGCGCCGGACGCGCCGGCACCGCACCATATTCACCGAGGAGCAGCTGCAGGCTCTGGAGACGCTGTTCCATCAGAACCAGTACCCGGACGTCATCACCCGCGAGCACCTCGCAAACCGCATTCACCTGAAGGAGGAGAGGGTAGAGGTGAGATCCTGCCTCCCGGCAGGGTGCTGTTTGCCCCCAAGAACACAGACCAGGGGATGCAGACCCAGGGCCTCAGTTTAAAAACCATTGTTGGGTATTCGACAGAACACTGTTTAGGTCTGGCAAATAACAGAGTAATAGGAAACAGATCTGCTGGGCTGGTTTGTTCAGGTATCTGGCCCCACAAACTTACACCCTCTCTCTCTCCTAGAATCACCTGTATAAACACACAGAGGCCCGATTCAGCTCATCCCCTCACTGAAGTGTTTATTCCTTATTTACGTGATCTGTGTGACTTCTGAATTTGCCGGGGGGGGGGGGGGTCACAGTTCTCTTGTCCCCCTTACATGTACTGAGCAAGATCGCGGGGGAGAGGCTCACTACATTCTGTACCATACCCTTATACTGGGAGGTGTATTACAGTACGCTAAAGCTTATGCTGTACAGTCCAAGGGTGTAAGCTGCTGTCTCCCTTCCAAGCAACACATGGGATATGAAATTTCTTTTCTTGCTTTACGCTTTACAGGTGTGGTTTAAAAACCGTCGGGCCAAGTGGCGGCATCAGAAGAGGGCGTCCGCCTCGGCACTGATCCTTCAAGGCACCAGGAAGTCCCCCGAGGAGAGCTGTTAGCGGTCACAGGCTGCATCTCAGCAGCTGCACGCCCAGCGCACCCATTTCCCATAGCTGACAGGTTCTGTAGGGGGTGACCCGAGGGGGGACTAATGAGGCAAAAGGGAATCTGTGAATCCCAGAGGATGAGGGCAGCTGAAAGCAGACACGGCACATTCACATCCAAGTTTCTCTCCCAGACCTAGCTCATGTGGCACGTAACTCGCCAGCCATGACCCTCAGATGCCAAGGCCCGTGCAGGGGACAGAGCGATGCCAGTGTTCAGTGTGTGTGCTTCAAGAGGAGGGGAGACTCCTCTCCCCGTCTTGCTCCGTGCGGGCAGTATTTGTGCTTGTTTCACTGCTGTACACGTGCAACACACGAATGAATGTTTCCTACTTCCAGCACCACCATGGCACCTGCAGTTGCTTTTGGGGCTGACCCTTAACAACGACACCGGGCCCTCCCCATGCAGGAGGGGACCCCGCGCTGCGGTGCGAGGGGCTGGCACAGCGAGCGCCCTGCTCTCCCCGCACCGCTCTCCCTGGGCGCGTCCCGGGCAGGGCCAAGCACAACGGCGGCAGCGAGGCAAGCGAACGCCCCCGTCCCGCCGCTCCGTACGCGCTGGGCCGTGCCTCGCCCACCGCCGCGGGCCGGCCTCCCGCGGCCCCAACCGCCCAAGCGGCGGTGCGCGCTCCCCGGTGCGCTGAGGGGGCCCGTGGGGGGCTGTGGGCAGAGGGCTCCGCAGCGCGGCACAGCCCATCCGCGTGGCACCCGCCAGCTCCGCTATGACGGAACGAGAGCGGGCGGGTCCTCCCTGCCGGCAGGGGGCGCGCTGCCCGCCGCCAGCACGGCTCCGTGCGTCTCTTCCGTGGGCGGGCCGGCGGGCGCGGGATGTTCCGGCTTCCCGTGGCGCGGCAGTGTGACGTCACGGCGTGTCGCGTTTGCGGCGGCGGCGGCCGAGGGAGGTGTGGGTCTGCCGCGGTGAGCCTGGCCCGGCGCTATGGAGCAAGCGGTGGCTCCGGCGGCCTCCGCCCGTGCCGTGGTGCCGGCCGCGGCCAAGGGCGACGGCGCCGGCGCGACCCCGGCGGCCTCCAGGCGCCCGAAGACGATTCTGGATGAGGAGACCTACATCGAGGTAAGCCGGCGGGCCTGCGCCTGGGCCGAGCGCGGCGGGTCCCGCTGTAACCCGGGCTGCGTTTGGGCCTGGGGGCGAGGCAGCTCTGCGGCCGCCCGACGGGCTCCGGTACGTCCCGTACGCTGCCCGGCAGCCGGCGCGGCGCTCCGAGGTGTCCCGGCGCGGCCCCGCAGCTGTGTCTGTGCTTGCAGCGTCTGGAGAAGATCATTCAGCGAGACTTCTTCCCTGATGTGGCGGTGTTGCGAGCGCAGAAGGATTATCTGGAGGCGGAAGAAAACGGCGACTTGGAGAAAATGAGGCAAATCGCGATCAAATTTGGCTCCTCCTTGGGCAAATCATCGGGGGACGTACCTGTACCCTGTAAGAACTGCATCACTGGGGTGTGAGGGTTGATATCTGATGTTACTGCTCTGATTTAGCTGTGTGAAGGTGGTGCTTATCTTAACCATTCACATTGTCTTTGCATGGGAATTAGCCTGCCAGATTGGGCAGTAGCCACTGTCAGATGAGTGATGGTGAATTTCCATTTGGTGGTGTTTATATTTCCTTCTTGAGGGAATGGTTTTGGCAAAAAAACAGCTACTGAGTAACCATTCCTCACAGGCATCTTTTGCCAAGCTCCTGCTCCCTAGGGAATGTTACATACTTGAATGTGCAATGTTATTGTATCAGAAAACTCTAAGCTATGTTTTGAATTCTTATTATAGTTTTAGGGGTTCTTGTTGAGTCTACAGATGTGTAAGGTGTTTGTTTATGGGGGACAGAAGATGTTGGAAGCTCGTAATTATCAGAGGTTCACACAGCAGACACCCTGTTGTATGTCTGCTTTCTCTTCAGGTTCAGGTGTCTATTACGTTAAAGCCCAGTTTCTGGCTAAGCTTTTGCAGTGGGGTTTAGGCTTTCTTGTGGCAAAGGGCATGTGTCAGCCAGTGATTTCTCTTTCTCCCCTGCTGCAAGGGCTGGTTCTGGCCTAGGTGAAGATTGTTGTGCTGCTGCTTGCTTCTGCAAGCAGAAGCTGTTCATAAGGTGGCAAATATACTGGGCTGTGACTCTCCTGTGAATTTTTCCCAACAGGAGAAAAATGATGTCTTAGATGAGAGCAAAATCTTGTTCAGCGTTTGAGACAGAATTGAATATTTGGCATCTTTTCACAATTTTTAATGAAATCGTGGTTCTCTTGCTATGTGTTCTGTGACTTGTTTGGTATGTGACCCTTTCTGTGGTGGAGGACGTCACAGCATTCTGTGCTCTGCTAACCATTTTTTCTGTCACAGATGTTACGCCAGCCACATTTGAAACCCCAGAAGTGCATCCAGGTGGCCTTCCACTGGAGGATAAATCCAAAGCTGGTGTTAAAGCTGCAGAGGAAGGTAGGAGAATGATGTTTGTTCAGCTGAATTCTTCAGCAGCAGGAAAATACTTTTGTGAGCTCTGTCTCCTGGAAGGATTGTGGGTATTTAGCAGGTGTTGAAGCAGTTTCCTTTAACCTTCTAATGGGTGAAAATGATCACTCTGAAGCTGAACTTGATGTAAAGTTTTGTCGTCTCTGTGAGTTCTCAGTTATGGGTTTAGGGCTGTGTAAATTCTGAACTCAGTTGAACTCTTTGAAGGCAGAAGGTTTTTTTTCTACATCAGCTGAAATTAATTCTGTAAGTAAACAAAGATTGTAGGGGTAGAGCTACTCATATACAATCTTAAAAATGTCTGCTAGCAGCTGTCCATGTGTGCAGTTTCCTTTAACACAGATAGCTATAAATGCCATAAAAAGTTTTATGGGAAGGTTGTTTTTATGTTTTGCAAAAAAGAATGTTTTATTGTACCGCTCTGCATGTGTGTATTTTTTTTTGACACTGAGCTTCATGCTAATTATTAGTGGGTCTGTAGAAGGTTTGCTATCAGAATGATTAAAAATTATGTATAGTGCTGTTGTAGAAAAGGAGGTATTAGCCTTTTTCAGGCTTCTTCCCTCTTTTTGTTAGGAGAAGCAGAGAAAGGTGATAAAGAGGCACTTCCCAGTCTGGACAGCTTCCTAGCAAAACACACAAGTGAAGATAATGCTTCATTTGAGCAGATCATGGAAGTGGCCAAAGAGAAGGAGAAAGTCAAGCATGCTTGGCTATACAGTGCAGAAGAAGAGTATGCCCAGGTATGGAAATGGCGCAGCTGTATCTCTGCTCCTGAGGTGACACAACAGGGAAATACTGTTTTACTGTATGTCTTTCTTGCTTGATTAAAGAAAATATTATCTTTTTGTTTTCGAATCCTACTATAAAAACAGATGGGAGTTCATGGGCTCTGAGTGTGAGGCTATTGCATTAGACCATGGAATTACTCATATTGCAGAATAAGAATAGAAAGGTCTTGATTTTAAGTAGTCGGTGCTTGGCGTGATCACATTAAATCTGAGCTAAGCCTGAGTTTCCTGGGTCCTGTGAGAGCTCGTTGCTTCCTTTGCAGTCCTGCTTTTTCCCCATCTGTAACTCAAGAGCAGTGTTGATATAGCTGTTGAGGATCTATCTCTTCCTAAAGTTGTGAGACTGGAGCATTGCACTGAGTGCAGGTGTTGCTGTTCTTGGCAGTCTCTTCCATAAGCGGCAATATCAAGGAGAGCAGCTGAGAAAAGTTCCTGTTGTTTGTCCATGAGCCCTTTATTATTTGCAGTTAGATTGTATTATTTCTGTTTCTGTAGCCAATAATAATCTATTCAGCTGCTGAAGTAAAGTCCTGTACACAGCATGGCTGGCTGTGCTGTCTGCCTCAGCTAGCTTCATGGGGCATTCAGGGCCTCTTCTGGAGCTGCCATGTCAATCTTTCTCCATCAGCAGTGAGCAGCTGGCATTGATGCCAGATGCATCAGTGATGGATGTAAGTTGCAGTGCCTTTTAATGAAGTTTGGCACTGACACCTGAGTGTTTCCTGCTGTGTTACTGTGAGTGAGGGTTATGGTTTTATCCCAGCTAATGTAAACCCTTGGAGTCCGTTACAATAAAAGTGCTCTTTGTGGCTCATTAAGCATCCTCTTTGCCCGAATGCTTTCATCCAGAATTAAAAGGCAGGCAGCAGGAGACCGTTTGCAAAGCACAGGGGTTGTTTCAGATCAGGGTGAGGTTTCCAGAGCTGGTCTGTGCTGATGCTGTGTGTCTTCCTGTCAGCCAGCACTGTTCAGACCTAGCATTTCCTTGCATTGCATGCCTGTTGATGTAGCAGACAATTTTGCTATGCCTCATTTAACATATCTGGTGACAATACTGCTATTTAAATGTATATGGACAACATCAGTTGATGTCTTTAATATAGAGCTTCTGGCAGTAATTTTCTGGTTTAATTGGTGTGAGAGTTTTTAAATGGAGTAACTTATTGGTGGGTGACTGCATTCTGTTAGGTTTTTTTTGTATCGGTGATGCTAGTATGCTGGTAACAGCACACAAGTAACTGTGTGAGTAAGTGTACACACAAGTAAGTGTAAGTATGTCAAATGCTTTCATACCTGTGTTGCCTATGGAAATGTTTGGAAACTAAGTATTGAAGAAGTGCCCATTCTGGTTTTTACTGCTTGCCTCAGCTAATGCAGTTTGCATGATAACCAGGATAATACAGACACTCTCCCAAGTTTACATGCCAAAGTCTTGTAAACTGCCTTTATGTTAGATATAGTGCCTGATGTTGCTCTTCCCTCTTTTAGCAATGAATACTTCATTTGAGTTTTTATTAGTAGATAGAGAAAAAACAGACAAAGCCTGAACCAAAACAAGTGTTGTCCCAAGATGTAATAAACAAAGTCATAATCTTTATAAGAATTTACTTCTCTGGTTCTCACCTGGTTTTATACCAGAACTTCATATGGAATTGTTTGCAAGCTCAGGTGGGAACAGGATGGTTTCTCAAATGACACTTGCTAGAGAGTGCTTATGCCATGCCAGGAGCAAAGTATGCTATGGCAGGGAGCTGAGCTTGTGATTGAGCTCTGCATGGTGCGGGTGCCTGGTTGAAATGTTGCAGGAGTCAGAACTGGTTCTCCCCCTGCCACCACCCTTTTCTAATCCTTTTTTGTATCATGCTTTCAGCGTCACAGTGAGAACCTGGCGCTTCCTTCAGCAGAACAGCAAGCTCTGGAGAGTGTGAAAGCTGGGCTGGAGACCTGGGAATACACAGCTCGAAACACCCTCATGTATTATCCGACAGGTGAGGTTGCAGGTTTCTCGTGAGGGGCATTGATTCTGAGTAGATTGACTCTGAACAGTGCTAACAGCATAACAGCATTTCTGTAGATGACTGAGCACCTCTTACTGGCAATAGTGCACTTTTTCCTCTGTGAAACTCAGATACATAAAGTTACTTTAAAATGCCTGGGGTTTGCTCTCTCTCTTTTTGTATTTTTTTTCTCTTTTTCTTTATTTGAACTTTGCTCCTTTGCCTTTGATTGCAAAAGGCAGTCAAAGTGTGATCATATTCTGTTTGTCATTGAGAAATTCATTATTACAGAAGCACTTGGTTTCAGGAGCCAAAGCTCTTCCCAGTTTGGTCTTTCTTCTTTATAAGCACTTTCTTGTAATCTTTATTCAATCTTAGCTTCTACTCAGAGAGTGCTTCTTGAGCTTTTTGGGCTTTTGGTTGCTATAGAAAACTATGTAATTTGTAACTGCCCTTTTCTTTGGTTATAAATGGACAATTGGTAACTTCTGCAAACCAGTGAAGTACAGAAAAGAAAGTCTTGTTAACTTAAAAAAAAATAAAAAATCTGATCTTAATTTGTAGATTTCAGCTTCTATCTGGTACAAATTCTGTTTTAAATTGCTAGTGATACACACCGCAATTGCTGATGGATTCTGTGTTGTGTGGGAATGTGTGACAAGTGTGTTGGTCAGGAGCTTTAGAGCACACTGCCTGGTGTTATCTGAGCCCTTTTTTAAAAGGTATTTTGCTTTTCAAGGTGTACCGGATGGGGATGAAGTATTTAAGAAGCCCAGGGAAGTTGTCCATCAAAACACCCGTTTTGTGAAGGACCCTTTTAGCCAAGCCGTGAGCAAATCACAACTCCAACAAGCTGCAGCCCTCAATGCTCAGGTTGGATAATTGCACTTCCAATACTTTGTTAGATTCTTCCCTCTAACGTTGATGAAGCAGGAAAACTGTGTGTGCTAGATAATGCTGGTTCACACCTTTCTCCACATGGATGGCATTGTCTCTTTTTTATTTCAGTACAAACAGGGCAAAGTGGGACCAGATGGGAAAGAACTGATACCCCAAGAGTCTCCAAAAGTGAATGGATATGGATTTGTGGCTACCCCCTCTCCTGCCCCTGGTAAGAGGGATTTCTTATGTTTTCTGATGTAAGATGCTCTGTTTGTTCAACTCTGAGGTATCGTTGTTGGTTTAGACAAGGAGATGAGCTTTCTATCTATGTAAGTGTCATGAGCTGGTGACTTTCTTGTGTACTGTGTATGCTAGCTCAGCCCAGTGCTTAAATCCTAGTCCCATACACTGGCTAGAGGAGTCATGCTGTACCCGAGAGGCTCTGAGCAAGCTGTCATGCCACCACTTAGGAGCCATGTAGAGGGTGGTGAGCCCTCCTAGGCAACTGGGGTGCTGTGGCTGCTTGTTTTATCCCTGGGTTGTGCTTCTGTAGGGCTTAAAGAATTGAGGTCCTTCACAACCATTTACATTCCAATGAATTGTCCTGTAGTTTTTTGAGTGATATTCAGCCTGACTCATAGCAATGTGGCATATCACTTCCTTCACAGTCTAACCTCCTATTTCTCTCCACGTCTGCCGCTTTCTTGGTTCCTCCTTTGTCTGAATACACTTGTGTATTATATATTCCTTTTGTTCACGTGGATTAGCTGTAGGATACTTTTGGTTAGAACAGACGTGATTTTTCTTCCAGTGGAAACGTGGTATCTTAAGTTTTCACCTGCTCCTCGCTAACAGCTGTGTTTCCCTGTCTTTTGTTATTGTGCTAAAAGCTGAACGTACTGAGGCTTTTCCTCCAGAAAGCCAGTAGGTGGCATTTGGAGCGCACCTCACCTCCTTTCTCCATTGAAGTGCCTGTTCATGCCAGGCACTAGCCAGCGACTTAATCGGGCTTTTAGCCTCAATTCATCTTGAGGCTAGCCTATACCAAGCAGTGACTGCGCTTTGTCTGACAGCTACAACCGCAAAATAGATTCTAAGTTTGGCTATTACATGTATTCTAAGTCCTCTGCCTGTTTCTGTGCTTTATAAATAGTTCCTTACATTAAAGAAGTTTTCATGAAGTAACATAGGGGAAGACTAGTACCACAGAGTTAAAAATGAAAGTGGCACTTAGCAAAAGCTCACCAAATGGAAAAATAAACATATGGAAAGGACAGTGCTTGGGTGTTGTCACCTAGAGGGTGACACAGCCGCTGGCAATGCTGTGAGTTTAAGGTCACGCTCTTTCAATGGGAACCACATATTGCTATTGAATATAGGCTGTGATTTCCTCTGCAGTGGAGGGGCTCCTTTTGTGTGTTGATGGATTTGCATTTCATAATTTGCCTCTCTGGATTTTTTTTGTGGTGAATGAACAGTCAAATGTCTTTCATGAGCATGACTCTTAAAATTTGGTTTTAGGTGTGAATGAGTCTCCTTTTATGACATGGGGTGAAATTGAAAGCACCCCTTTGCGCTTAGAAGGGTCAGAAACGCCCTATGTGGACAGAACGCCTGGACCAGCCTTCAAGGTATTCCATGTCATCAGTCAGCATGTCATTCTTTTTTGGGGAGAAGGACTAAGAAGGGAAAGGGAAGTGAGTAACTAATAGGTTAACATTGCTGTAGGAGTGTGACACGTCTCTGGGCTGTGTTCGCAGTCCCTGGTTCCAATAATCTAGGTTCTGCTTGGAGGGTGGAGGTGGACATGAACGCTGCTTGGTGGAGGTACCTGAGGTGGAACACACACTGTTGTCAGGAGAGTGTGACTTCATATTTGGTGATACAAAGCCCAGACATAGGGGTTATCAGAGGAAGCTGAAGAGACGCCAAGTTTATCCAATTTCAGTGTATAAATGGTAGAAACTGTAGGATTTCCCTCTGTCTTGATCTTTTGGCTGTCACAGCCTGAGGCAGGTATATCACTTGAGAATATAAAAGGCACTCTGGCTTTGCTAATGGTACGGGTCCCTGCATGCCACCTGTCTCCTGCTGTTTTCATTGTGTATGAGCTGAGAGTCTTGCTTCAAGAAAGGTGTAATTTGCTGTGTGTGCCTATGTTTTGCTGGACTCGGAAGCCCTTGACTGGTTCTCCTGCTGTGTAGCAATGTCTGTTTGCCTGAGAGCTGGCTGGCCACAGGCCAGGCCATGCAAGACACAGGTGACATTGTTTGTCTAGGAGAGACAGCAGGAGGAAATGCCAGAGGTAATGGCTGCTTCCTTGACTGAACTGGTTCTACCATTTTTGTTACTTGCTTAGGCAGGTTGAAGGTCCCTCTGTGTCCTCTCTGGCTTTTATGTAGCAGCAGAGGGTTGTGGGCTGACCCCGCTTCTCCCCAGTTTAGATCCCTGTAAACTGGAATCCAGCTGTGAAGGTGCTTTGACTCATTTTTGCAGCATTCATGAGAGTCTCTTGGCAACTGAACTGTGTGATGCATTTGTAGATCCTGGAGCCTGGGCGCCGTGAGAGGTTGGGGCTCAAGATGGCCAATGAAGTGGCAGCTAAAAAACGAGCAAAGAAGCTGGAGGCACTTCGAAAAGCAACAGAAAACTTGGCCAGGTGAGATTTGTTCTGACAGCAGAACTGGGGAGGGGTATCTGCTGATGAGGTTTAAATCAACATACATAGAAAGGGAAGAATGATCAGAGTACTGGGAGCAGCGGTAGGTACAGTCAGACTGCAAGTTTTTAGAAATCAGAAAACTTAGTTCCTGAGGGAAGGTGGCTGGTGGCTGTCCTTGATACTCCCTCTTGTCAGCATCACTGTTCTGCATTACAGTCACCCAGCAGTGCATCTGGATCAGTGTCTTGCCTCATTGCAAAGAGGAGACGTGATAAGTCTTGCTTGGCCGTTTCATAGGAAGGATAGAATAGGCTCAAAGGAAAAGGCAGGTGGTACCACTCAGGTTTGGAGGGATGTAGGAGGTTTCTTTGTCACTTGTCTCTAGAGAGACAGGCTGCATTTACCTGTAGCCAGAATGACTTCTGCAGCCAGTGGGTCTGGTCTGTTGTGAGAGTGGATACCAAGCTCATCTGTGGAAGCATTGATGCTCTTCCACATAAGTGGCAGATTTTTACTGTAAAATCTTTTAAACCTGTTTATTCTGTTCCAGCTTCACTCCAAAAGGACTAAGCCCAGCAATGTCACCAGCTTTGCAGAGACTAGTAAACAGGACTGCAAGTAAATATACCGACAAAGCACTGCGAGCCAGCTATACTCCTTCTCCAGCCCACACTGGAACGCCTGGTTACAAGACCCCAGCAAGTGGGCCTCATACACCCACAAGCACCCCACAGTCTAGGACAGTATCTCAGACGCCAGTATCTCAGGATACTACATCAATCACAGACAATTTACTGCAGCTTCCTAAAAGAAGGAAGGCATCTAATTTCATCTGAATATTCCAGTCACCAGCAAGGCAACAGTGAACTGGCTGTGCTCGGCTGTCTGCAAATGGGATGTTGTGAGGCATCGGTGTAAGGGGTGTCTAGATACAGCTGCCAGAATGGAAGCCAGTGGTTAGAAGACTTGGGACCAGCGCTACTCTAAACAATACAGATAAAATAGCCTGTAATGTGCTTTTTGGAAGCAGAGTATCTCTTGCTGTGGTATAAATTCCCGTTGAACTGCATGGGTGGGATGCACAGGGCTGTGGTAGAAAAAGAATGCTTCCTGCAATGGCAGAGAAGATTCTGGACTCTTGGAAAAGGGTGATAATTGTTTGAAGATCCATTTCTTTTTTTAAGATGGCCATGCATTTAAATACATTTCTGTACAGATATGTCTATTTATAAAATGTGGTAAGCCTTCCTAAAAGGTTGAACTGGACTTCCTTTGAGCTTGGCAGACATCTTTGGTTTTGTATTTTGCAGAAGAGCAGATATAATCATGTATATAGTAAGACATGACCCAGAGTTTTTAGAGGGCCTCTCTTTAATTTGAGTTGCTCTTGAATGTGGCTTGGACTTGCCGAGAGAGGTGGTATGTTAGGAAGACAGTATGCGTACAGATTCAGCTATCAGTTCACAATGCCCAGTAACCTACCTGAATACACGGTGTGGTTGATGCACATGTGGATTCTGCAGCCTGTGTAGTCAGAAACTTGAGAAAGGTGAGTGTAAGACCTGTTAAATGCCAGCAGCACTGAAAGAAACTGTCCAGTGTGTTTTGACAGTAACTTCCCTGCAAACCGTATCAGAGACAGGCCTTGAGAACAATAGGGTTAAGCTGTTTATTCACTTCAGCAGATGTACAGTGTCTTCTATTGCTATTCTTTGTAAAGCAAGAGGTGAGGACTGTTGCTGAAGCAGAAGCTAAAGTTGAGAATTAGCAGTTCACAAGTTAGATTGACTTTGTGATACTGTTAAAACCAGCCATCCTTAGGAGGATCCTGTTTACTTCTGTCTTTTCCCTTTTGCTTAATGGCATTTGGCTTGATGGTTTTGCTTTGGCTTTCCTTCATGTGGGTTGTGGGAACACTCACCCTCTTCTGGAGCTGGCAGAGGGGACTCGACAGTGGCATCTGGAGTCTGCAGCCATGAGTGTTTCAAAACTTCATCTATGCACAATCTCTGAGACACATTGGGCTGGAGCAGGTGGTTAATGAGATCCTTGCACTCTACAGTCAGGTGTTTTGTGCTGGGGAAGGAAATCCTGTGTTGTTTCTGAAAAAAAATCATTTTCTTGATGTTGGAATCATCAAATGGCATGGAAGCGTAGACCATTATATACAGGATGACGCCCAGACTCCACATGTCAGAAATCCTGGGGTCACAAGGAATGCCCTGTAGCACTTCAGGGGCTGCATATGCAGCAGACCCACAGAAGGTATTGCTGAGAATCATTTTCCCGTTTTTATCCCAAGACAAGAGTTTGGAAAAGCCAAAGTCTGTCAGCTTGACGTTGAGGCCATCATCAAGAAGGATGTTCTCACATTTCAGGTCCCTGTGAGCAAAGTTTGAGTCATGGCAATGCTTGATGGCAGAAGCCAACTGCTGAAACTTCATGCGAGCAAAGTCCTCTCTCATAGCTCCTGTGATCTTGATGTGGTCCAGGAGGTCTCCCTTTTCCCCCAGCTCCATCACGATGTACACTTTCCCAGCTGATGTCTCAAAAATCTCATAGGTTTTGATGATTGATGGATGTTGCAAACATCTCAAAGCCTCTATTTCCCTGGGGAGAAACCTTTCCCAAAAGTCTCCAGGAGTTTTCATCTTGTCGATGATCTTGACAGCTACTTTGCACTTCAGCCGGTTGCAGAAGGCACATTTCACTTTGCTGTAAGAGCCTTGTCCTAACGTGTCGCTGAGGCTATAGCCTTTCTTTCCAAGCACTGTAACGTCATCCATGGTGGAAGAGCTGGAGGCAGCTGCATGAGGTGGCGCTGGCGTGCATCATGGGTGGTGGCAGATGGTGTGTGCAGCCACCATGGTGGCTGCTTGGGCTGCTGCTGCCGTGGTCGAGTGGCACCGGAGCGCTGGTCCCTATGTGATGTCACAGGTGCTCGGAAGGACCTTGCAGCCCTTTCCTGAAGCTTCAGGATGATGTCATCCAGGGCAGAACTTGGCATCAAGTCACTTGGAAACATCACCCATACCCTGCCTTCATCGTAAACTGATCTTTAGTTTTGCTAATAGGATGGAAGTACCCCAGATGTTTTTCTTTCCTAAAATGTACCCAAGTCTGTTTATATTTATTCATGTTAGGTGAAATTTTGTCATCTTTTTGTATGCCTTGGATGATCTTTCAAGCCCCATGTGGGTGTGCTTCTGCTGTACAGTGGCCTTGCTTCTCCCCAGCCGTTTTCCTCAGAAATGGGCTTGTCATGTCTTAACTGAGGCTGCATTCAAGAGCTAGGTTTGAGTTTGGCTTGGGGTTTTTTCCTTCATGGGCTTGCTAGGGGAAGGACATCGCTTCTTTCAAGTTAATTTCCTTGTTGTTCATCCAGCCCTTCCATTTCATAGCTCTGACTGGCTGCTTCTGTGGGCTTTGCTTTTGCTGTGTGAGGGGGGTTATGTTTTGACTTCTAGCTTCTGGTGTTCTTGAGAAAGGCTCACACAACACCTTCAACACCTTCCTCAGAAGGATTACTGTTCTGTATGTTGACAGCTTCACTGTAACCAGCCTCTGGGGCTTTTTGCTTTCTGTTCATTTCAGCTTTTTCAGATCTGTTGTTACTGCTGCTTTGTGTGTGACACCAAAGACTTGATGGTGTTGATGATCAAAACATGGGGGCTGGGACAACCTTGCTTTGTCCATCAGCATGGGTGACAATGTCATTCTGAAGAACAGAAGTGGCACTTCTGCCAGCTACACTGGGGCTTTTGGGGGGTTTCTCTTCCCATTCTTTGAAACTTGTGGGTAATTATTCTAATCAGCCAAAAGAAAAAGAAAGAGAGGAGAGCAGTTTTACCCATGCACAGCTTGCTCTCAGAGCTGAGTGACTGAGCAGTGGCGTGGTGTGATCCACCCTGGAGCAGCACAGAGCACCTTTTAGCAGGAAGCAGGCGTAGCCAGATGTGTACGCTTCCTGCAGCACGCCTGAGCACAGGGCAGCCTGTGTGACACTTGGAAGTCTTGGACACTTGCTATAATCAGGTGATGTTTTACCGAGGAAACTTCCATGGAAAATCCTCTGCGGCTCTTTGAGCAGTGCCTGCAGCCTTCTGTGAGGTCTGGGGGGGTTTGATGCCGTGTTTTCTTGGTGGAGAGATTCTTCCTGTGAAAAACCCTGAGTGACTCGATTTTTATAGCGCACCTTGTACAAATCAATTGCTCACCATGGCATTGCAAGGAGTTAGCCATTTTTGCCTTTCAGTCAGAAATAATTGAAGGCCAAGTTTTGTCTTTAAGCAAAAAAATTGCTCTCACGTATTCGTGAATGTAAAGGGAGCCCATTTACTGGCGTTTCCATGCTTTCAGAGATGTTCTTTAAGGACTGAACTGGGTAAATAACAATGAGTTTCTTAGGTAATTTAAACAACGAATTATTTATTTCATAATGACCACACATTCCGCTCATCTCCAGTAAATGTAGGACCTCCCTGTTGGGGCACACAGGCAGATGGTGAGGCCCTGGCCTGCAGTTAGAGTCACCCAACAGAGCAGGAGAATGGAGTAGATGTGACATAAAGATGGTTGGATGTAGTAGGCACTGCTGCAGAGAGCACCCAGGGGAATGTTTGAGCTTCACAGATAACTGAGGAGCAGCACAGGGACTACCAGGGTGTGGAGGTGACCCAGTGAGAGGTTATCCGAAACACCAAATTTGGCTGTAGATGTAACAAGGCTGGGCCCAAGGGGAGACAGTAATTAAAGGAGGTTATTTTGGGAAGAGATGAGGGTTAGAGAAAAGGAGGGATTAGAGAACAAGCACGGGAACAGAGAGAAACTGGATGTGTGGAAGCAGGCTGTCATCGGTGTGTGTGTCTCAAGCCCAGTGCCTGATTTCCACCACCTTGTTCACTGATTCCTATCCCTTCTCTGGTTGTGGGAGCTCTCTCTTCTGGACATGGGATGCACGTAAAAGCTGGGTAGTGTTTGAGGACTGCGGATGGGGTGTACATATGGGTCAGGAGTGGGCACACATCTTCCACAGCATTTGAATCTGGTCATGCTCATGCTAAGACATAGTTGGAATGACAGAGGGGAATGTGCTATCTGTGAATGATTAGTTCCATGTTGTGCAATCAATGCTTCTGAGCAGATTGCCTTATATATCCTGTGGGCTGGTGTTGGTTTTGTGTTCACCCTCAAGTGAATGAACCCAGACAGCCCTGGGACTAAAATCCCAGTCTCGGTTCTGCCAGACTGAAAGGCCTTCATGTGTTTGCTGGGAATGTAATTTATTGCTATAAAGCTGGATCTCTTGAAGGGGATGTAGTGCTCTTCAGATAGGCTATTCCTGTAACGCCTCCTGTAGTGTCTGGTCTCCGCTTCCTGCTGCAGTTCAGCTCCTGCTATCTGTAATTAGGGAATCAGTAATAAACTGTTCATTGCCTGATATTTTTGCTGCTGTAGCACTAGCAGATGATGTGCCTTTACAAGGCCAAATCCCATGTGAAAAACCATCTTGGTTCTTCATGACTTGTGATTTTTCCTTTTTCCTCTCTTTTTTGAGAGGGTTATTTTCCTTTTGCTCTTCCTGCATACCTGCATTGTCCAAGGCCCAAGCATGCTTCCTCTCTCAGCCAGAATAGCACCTGGAGCTTACCTCAATGAAGCAAACCGCTGATTACACCAGGCACAACTGCTGCTCTTTGATTTATGGGACACAGGTAAGAACATAATGAGCAGAAGACAAGCAGCAGCCCAGGGTTTGGTGAGGCAAGTAGCTGAGAGCTCCTGTCACCATCACCCCACACCATGCTTTGAGTGAAGAGCCAGGATGGAGGTGGCCAGGGGAGTGGTGGGGCACTGTCCTGGGGCAGGAGGCTGCTCTCCAGCTCATGTTCCTCATCGCCTGTGGGCTACGTGAGCCGTGTCTTGGGGCAGGGGTCTGGCTCTGCAACAGGATGTCCCAAGGCACCCCTGTGCACTTCATCTTGAAGACCAAGAGTGTTTCCCTGGGGCAGATGCAGCCTCCCCTGCTGTGGTACAAGGGGCTGTACAGGGCCTGCAGTTTTCCACCACCCAAACCCAGGTTCCAGTAAGGAGTGGGGCTCTTGAGCTGCTCTCTACTTAGTCGTAGAATGGTTAGGGCTGGAAAGAACCTTATTTAGCCCAGAAGGGAAGCTGTGGTTGGAGTTACTTTGTTGTTCTGGGGGACTGGGCTATTCCTCTGAAGAAAAAAGAAGTAAATGGATCCCCTCGCTCAGGAAAGTGGGAGATGGAGCAATTCCTACTTCCTCATATTTGCATTTGTTTCCTCAAACCCAGCTTGCTGCTGCTGGTGCAGGGCACGAGTGGGTTTGGCCACCCTGCCCGTGAGCCCTTTCCCTCTGCTTCTCCTGAGCACGGCAGCTTTTCTCCACTGCTTTATGGGCACAGGGGATCTGCGCTCGCTGGTTGGAGAAATGCTCACTCCCAGTATGAAACGGGGAGTGCCTGGGATGTGCCAGCTCCCGCACGCCCTCGGCAGAGGCTCGGTGTGTTCTGCTGGCATGCTCCTTGTCCCTGCAGCATCTGCCTGCCGTTGTGTCCTGTCTGGTGGCTTGGGGCTGATGTGACTGCACAGGGCAGCTCCACCTCGCACCTCCCCACAGCCTGGCCAGGGCATTGGTAGTTCCCCAGTGTTGGTGTCCTCAGCACGGCACAGCCTGAGGAAATGGGTGCCTCTTACCCTTCACCTCCGTGCTGTGTGGCTGGGCTGGTTACTGCCTGTTTGCTCAAGGGTGCTGTGTGGGTTGTGGTGCTTACCTGGCACATGTGTGCTCCAGAGCCACCTCTGTTCAGAGCTGGTGAGGTTGCGGTGTGGGGAAATGAGGTCTGCCTTTCCTGGGGCAAAAGCCAGGGACAAGCAGCCTATGCCCTGTTCTGATGTGTTGTAGGGCATTTATTTACACATTGTATGATGTAATTCACAGGCCTTGGTTGCCATGGGCTTGGGGTGGGTAAGGAGTTGTCTTGGATCAGTTTGGGGCTGGCATGTGTGGCTGGGCTGCAAGAAGCCTGGGTGAAAACGGCCTTCCTGCACTGTATCCCCTGGGAGGAACAGAGCTGGGGAGCTGGATGGCTGTGCTTTGTGCTGGAGGGTGCTGCCACGCTTCAGCTCCCTGCAGACACCCGGATCATGACAGTGTCTGGCAGCTCGTGAGAGCTGGCAAAATGTGTTCTGGCCGGAATCTTCAGGCAGCCCCCAGCTGCCTGCAGGTCCCCAAGAGCAGGGCCCCAGGGAAAGGAGCCATTGCACACACTTACTGCTGCCCCAGCAACCTCCCAGCAGGCACCAGCTTCCACTGCCACATTAAACTTCACATTTGGGTATGGAAGAAGCATCTCCCTGATGCTGCTGAGCTGGGCTCGGCTGCAGCTCCTGTGGGGCCAGGGGTAGGGAGTGCACAGGAGAACCCACTGAAGCCTTGTCTCCATGCCTGCAGGTCAGCAGCTGGTGCCTGACCTGGAAGGGAAGCAGAAGCAATGTGAGAGTACATGTATCTGTTATCTGTACATCCATCGGGAATACCCTTGAGGGAGGTTTGCTGCTGGGTATAGTAATTGGTTTTAACAGAGAAACAGGGAGGGTGGGATCTTGGGTCCAAACATTGAAGTATGAAAGTGGAAAAGAGTTGTTGTAAACTTAAAAAAAATACATAAAACCTTCCCAGCAGCTTCCCGAGCTTTGGCTTTGACTCTGGATGGGGTTTTACTGGAAAGCTGGAATTCCCTGCAGCGGAAAGTGCTGACCCTGCAGCCACTGTGGGTCAGCTGCCCCGGCCAGGACCATGTCTGGTGCTACCTGAACACCGCTGCTTCTTTTCCAGTTGCCAGAGGAAAATCCGGCTCAGTTTGGGGAGTGGGTTCTGGAGGCAAAACTGCTTCTGAGCCCAGACCCCACCGGGGCCAGTGCCACCTCCCCAGGCTGGGTCCCCATAGGGACAGCCACCACCCATGGCAGAGCAACACCCAGGGGCAGATTCCTGAAGGCGCCCGTCATTTGCCGGGCCACTGACAATGATCTGGGCTGCACAACTGGTGCTATTCACGTGTTTCCTCTCCGGCTCCCGAGCCTGGAACACAGCGCTTCCAGGAGTACGAAAACACCACCCGGCTCCAGCCCTGCTGTGGGGATGCCACCCGCCCGTTGGGGTCACCCCTGCAGGACTGAACTAGATAAACTCCGTGATACGGTTCAGTGCTGGTCTTGGCAGTCCTGAGGTAATGCTTGGACTTCATCATCTTAAAGGTCTTTTGCAGCCTGGTTGATTCTGTGATCTGGAGGTCCTGTCCAAGTCAAGCCAGTCTATGGTCCATGGTCCATGGTCCATGGTCCATGGTCTACGGTCCATGGTCCATGGTCTACGGTCCATGGTCTACGGTCCATGGTCTATGGTCTACGGCATGTGCAGGTAACGGCTGCGGGCTGGCGCGGCGCAGCGATGGCCCCCGCGGGTAGCTGAGGCCGCGCTCGACCCCGTAGGTGGGCGGGGCTTGTGCCTATCCGTGCGCTCGGCCCCGCCCCCTCGCCGCCGATTGGCGGGTCGGCGCGCTGTGGGGAGGGGTCGTGGCGGCGCGGGGGGCAGGCGGCGGGGAGGTGCGGCCGCCATCTTGTGCGTCGCCGGAGCCAGGCGAGCGGCCCGCAGCGTGGCGCCGCCCGACCCCGCGCTGCTCCCGCCGCAGCCGCCGCCGCAGCCAGGGCCGCTGGCTCCCGCCCGGGGGCGGCGGCGGACGGCGGAGGGGAAGAGCTCGGTGCGGACAGGGGCACCCCCCCCTCCCCCGCGGGTCCGGTGGCGGCGGCGGCCCCTCCTCCCGCCGCTCCTCGCGTGCCTCCCCGCGGGTTTGTGGCGCTGCGCCGGGGGAGGATGAACGGAGGATAAATGGTGCCCAAGGCAGACAGCGGCACCTTCCTCCTCCTCTTCCTCCTGGTGCTGAGCATCACCGAGCCGCTGCGGCCAGGTAGGGGCGGCGGGGGGGGGGAAACGCCGGTCCTCCTTCCTCAGCCCGCGGGCGGGTCCCGGGCCCGGGGCTGGAGCCTGGCGGGGGGCAGCGGGGCTCCCCCGGGGGGGGTGGGCGGGCGAGGGAGGTGGCGGGTCAGTGTCCGAGAAGCGGTGCCACCGGGCGGGCAGCGCTGGGGCCGTCCCCTTCCCGCAGGGCTCAGCGCGCCGGGAGGAGCCCAGCGCTGGGGTCGCCGTGGCCCAGAGCCGGCCCCGGACCCAGGGGTCGGTGTCTGCTGCTTCGTTGTGCGCTAAAAAGAGATGGGACCTGGTTGAGTCATGGGGAAGCGTCGGTCCCTGTGCTGGCTGGCTGGGACTTGGAGGAATGGGAGTTAGGGTCAAAAACCTCATTTTAAAGTTTGAAAGGTTGGGTAAAAGCTTTGTAACACTACAGGTAGTGAGCAGTGGAAGTGGGGTGGCATGGTCAAGTTTTCAGCTGCTTTTTACTTACTTATTTTTATGTTGTGGGCCTTGGGTGCCAGCAAAACAAAACCTTGCTTTCAAAGTGCCATTTGATCATCCCAGAAAGAGAAAACAACCCTACTGCATCTCAGCTGTATGTCATCTTCCTGGTTGTGTTTTTGCTTCTTTTAGGGCAATAATTCAGCAGTGAAGTTGGTGTGGTAGTTGCTAGGCACAGTGCTTTAAAATGTTTAGATTAGTAAGTCTGGAGAAATGGTTGGTGTTTGCTGATTGAAAACTGCAGCCTTTCTAGGTACGTCGCTCAGTTGAGGTTTCTTCTTGGGTGTTGAACTCACTTGGAGCTTGGCAGAGCCCTAGCGTATCTTGGGCTGCTCTTGCCAAAGAGCATCAATAGCTGAAGCGTGAGGCTGCCTGGAGTAGCTTTGCAGGTTTGGAAACCATCCTCCTGTCACACCACGCGACTGCTGCTGGGTGATACTCACTCCTTTATAAACAGGAGAGAAAGAACGATGGTGTGCTTCAAAATCCCCTTGTTCTTTCTCTTCAAAATAGCCTGTATGATCCAGACTAATAAAACGTAACAGTATTAGTGAGCTGTGTTTAAGCAAGTTCCCAGTACAGCTGAAACACAGTTGGGTCAGTGTAGGCAGTCTTATTGAAATAACCAACTTAGGTGTTGAAACTGCTCTGTGTGTTCCTTGTTTTGTTTTAGCTTGTTTTTTTGGCAGTGCAGTGTATATACAGGGCCTATGATATGCTCTGAAGTAGCCAAAAAAAAAGCAGAGTTGCTAACCTAGCATTATTACAGCTAGAGGCTTTACGTGGGAGAAGATGCTATGTAAAACCGATTTCAAGCAGCTTCCTCTGTAGCTGGCACCAAGTGCAACAGACAGCTGAATTACTGGTTGAAAAGGCTCAGCAGAGGTTCATAGCTGTCCGTGTACTTTAACAAGAGGGTAGGTTTGATCTTGAGCTCTGTTGGTGTTGAGCATTGTAGCCTCCTAGAAGTTAGAAAATGGCTTTTTCCTCTTGTGTTGGAACATGTGTTGCTCCAGTTTGATAGCACATCTCTGCCTGATGCTTCATGGATGAAGACAAGTTCTTCGCTGAGGTTTGCTTCTTTAGGGCAAATTGATGTTTTCACTGGTGCTCTGTTGTACCTACTTTGGAGATTTGTGGTGCTGTAGCCACACTGGCAGAAGCATTTTCCATGTGAACAAACCTGGACTCTCATCTGCTCAGGTTATGCACCACTGGCTTTGAAACCCATAGCATTAGGATTTCTCTGTGGGAAGTCCGTATGTGTTCCTTGAGCTTTGCTCAAACCATATGTATTCAGGAACCTAATGTGAAGTAATCCAGCTGGATGTAGTATTGCAGCTGGAATTCCTTGCTGTATGAGGGATTTCTGAATTCCATTTGGAATAGTCTCACCCATCCTTTTTACTTGGATGCTCTGGATGATTCTGGTATTTGAGCTGTCCATGGTGATGCTTCTCCTTCCTCCTCAGGAGAGATCCCATTCCTTCAGGGTGGCCTCATGTCTTTTTGCCAATGTCCTTTGGTTTTTAGCTTGCTTCTTTTAATGTCTTAAGCCTATTCTGTCAGATAGATCACCCATTTACTTGATTAAATAATGTGTGGGTTGATCCTGAAACAAAGGATGCAGATAGGGAGTATCTGGTTTGTGCAAGTATGGAAGGTGTACAGAACCAAATTTATAATTTTAATCAATGGTGAAGAAGTCTCACTTCTCTTTTTGGGAGAGATACGTGGATTTCCTCAGAAACAGTGTTTGGATTTAGAATTTTTCTTCCTAGTGATGGTGGTTTTTCTTTTTCCTTCTTTAAACCTGTGTATTGTAGCAACTGTCTTACGGGTTTACAAAGGATGCCTGCATCATTCTTAGCTTAAATCTGTGCTCAGAGCTATCAAATGAGTGCTGCAGAGTGATGGGAGGTTTTATGTTCCCTGAGATGAATGTGTAGTCCCTTCACAATTCAGTCCCAGCGAATCAGGCACCTCTTTGTACTTCCATGTTAATTTGACACTAGCTTTGTATCCATGTTCTTGCTGTACTCTTCAGATAAATAAAACCTCCTTTTAAGCCTCCTCAACTGTAGTATCTTTTCAGGCAATCTGAAAGGCAGTGATTTTACATGGACCTATTTTTTTTCTGCATTTAAGGGGACATGGAGTTTAGTAAATGAAGAGAGAAATTAATTAGAATTTCCTTTTTTTCCTCTGATTTTTTTCCATCTTGGTTACACAAGTCTGTTTTATGCTACTGCCAGCGCTAACATCATCAGGTACATCCAACATACTGTGGCACCAGCCCTAGCTGGAGGCTTGGGTTCCTGAAGGTATTGTGGGCAGTTAGATTCTTCTGAGCCTGTGAACATTTAATGGTAATTTTGTGCCTTTGACAGTCTCTGTTTAGATGATTTTTTTGTCCTAGTGTTTCCTCTTTCCTTTTCTAACTGTTTTGACCATAAGCTGCTTGTTTTGACTAGTTGCCTGCTTTATAATGCATTGTTGAAAGAGTGTTTTTTTTTAAAGTAGGGCATTTCTCCTTGAGTTGTGTTTCTCATTATGTGTTGGAAGTTGCTGATGTGAATTGAAGCCGAATATGTTGTACTTTTCCAACTATGCGAGTGTACAGTGAAGAAGTAAATATTTTCTTTAAATGCGTACTGAATTGATTATATCTGGTGTTCAGACACTTGTTTTGGGGGGTATTTACCACAGTAGGATTTGGCTTAATAGTATCTTTTCCCGGACAGCTCTAAACATCTGCTTCAGGTTATCTGTGTAGCTGGCTGAGAGCTGCTGTCTTGATGTGAAGAAATATTTCAGCAGTGTGTTAACAGAGTTACAATGAGATGTTCTGGTGCTAGCTCAGATTTAGACTGAGTTTCTGAGCACCACTGCATTCCTGTTGGTTGTCGAAAGAACATCAGAGGTAAATTGTTATGAACTCTGTTCTGCAGCACAAGTTGAGAAGTTCCTGTTTCTGTTAACATCTAATGTGCAATCGAAAAGTAGAGGTTCTGGTGTCTTTATGTAACATGGGGAACTTAAACAGTCTGGAATGATCCGGATGACATGTTTCAGAAGAGTGTTTAGAGGATTAATTAGTATCATCATCGCTGAAGACAACAACATGTTTTCATATTTCTCTAACAAGATGCTGCTGCTTGCTAATGGAAAACACTTAAACATGGTCAGGCTTTATATTGGATTTTGTAATAGTGGTTTAGTACAGCGCCTTGTGAATGTAGGTCATGGGCTTTCTTATTAGAGCATTTGCCAGGCAGCTAAAAGCCAATTGAGTTCTTGCAGCTTTTTTTCTCCACTTCAAAGCTAGCTAGAGGAAGTCACTTTATTACTCAAGTTCTGTTTTTAAGAATTTTGCACAACTTACCTAATCGGCAGTGCTTAAAGACTTGCCAGCACAAGTGGTGCAATTAAAAAGACCAGCAATTTTAGCTTAAAGTTTGAACTTCTCGTATGCTTTGGTGCTTGCTGGTATGCAGCTGGCAGGGAGGTTTGCACTGTGTTGGTATCTTGACACAATACCATTGACAGGTGTGTTTAAATTACCAAGTCTTTCTTGTCACTCAGTTAAAAGTTGTAGGTCCTAAATGCAAGGGAGAGCTCCTGGAGCAGAAGTCTAAACAGAAGTCAGCGTTGTTTCACGAGTGTGCTGTGACCTACCCTGTCTGGTTTTGGCTAGTTGAATTGTTATCAGTTAATTTGGTTGGTGATGCAAATGTTAAAATGTGACCTGGGCACAGCATTCCTCTGCTCTAAAGAGTTTGTTGGTAGGCAAGTGAAAGCCCTTCTTTTACTCTTTGTTCACTGTCTCTGCTTTAGTGAGACCTGTGGTGAGTAATATTTGCTTGGTTCCATGTTGTTGCCAACTACAGTCCCTCTCTTTGTATTTAGCTGAATTCCCAAGTGAGGCCTTCTAGGTTTCAGGGACAGACAGAATGGTTTTTATCACACCTCCTCAGTTCCACTGCAAGTAGGGCTGTCCTGTCTTCCAGTCTTACGGTTACCCATCATCCCCTTTTTACTTAATCTACAGGGTTTAGGTGTTTTTTTTTCTTCTGCTGTTACCTGTGTGCTCTTTTCCTGGTGTTCTGTGCTCTGCAGTTTGCTGTTGTTACGAGCTGCAAATCAAGCCCGATGGATTTGAAAAGGCTTTCTTCCTGCTGCTATCACTGTAGTAGAGAGGCAAGTCAGAAGGTATCAGACCTTGTTAGCAGGTCTGATACTTGAAGGCTGGTAATTCCTGATGTTAATTATAAGGCAAAATTTTTGAGGTGCAAGTGGGTTTGCTATTAGCAGTGGCTACAGAGTAAAGGAGGAAGGGTTCAGTAGGCAGAGGGCTGTCTGTGTTGCTCTGGTTCTGAGAAGTAATAAACCAGAGGGGGAATGTGGGGGTTTGCAAACAAGTGACTTCTATGTCCCTGCAGTAGGTTTGGGAGTAGAGGAAGATCAGGCCAGAGCAACAGAAGTGATGGAGAGCTGCTG